AGGGGGAGAGGGGGAGAGGGGGAGAGGGGGAGGGAAACTTAGGCAGAATCTTTGCTGAGCTTGGAGCCTGATGCAGGGCTCGATCTCCTGATCCTGAGACCATGACCTGAGCCGAAACCAAGAGGTGCATGCTTAACTGATCGGGCCACCCGGCGTCCTTGCTTATAACTTTTTATTAATAAAATGTCAAGTCCAGGGGCGCCTGGGTGGCTCAGTCGTTAAGTGTCTGCCTTCAGCTCAGGTTATGATCCCAGGGTCCTGGGATCGAGCCCTGCATCCGGCTCCCTGCTCGGCGGGAAGCCTGCTTCTCCCTCTCCCACTCCCCCTGCTTGTGTTCCCTCTCTCACGGTGTCTCTCTCTGTCAAATAAATAAAATCTTTAAAAAAAAAAAAAAAGTCAAGTCCAGGGGCATGTGGGTGGCTCAGGTCATGATCCCAGAGTCCTGGGATTGAACCCTGCATCGGGCTCTCTGCTCATCAGGGAGCCTGATTCTCTCTCCCGCTCTGTCCCTCTCCCCTGTTCACGCTCTCTCTGTCTCAAATGAATAAATTAAAAAAAAATTTTTTTTAAGATTTATTTCAGAGAGTGAGAGATAAGAGAGAGCACAAGAGCACCTGAGCAACAGCAGAGAGGGAGAAGCAGACTCCCCACTGAGCAGGGAGTCTGACTCGGGGCTCAATCCCAGGACCCTGGGATCATGACCTGAGCTGAAGGCAGACGCTTAAACCAACTGAGCCACCCAGGCGCCCCAAATAAAAAAAAGTCATGTCCATAGAAAAGTTGAAATAGTATTAATAAACACTCTCATCCTCCCTACCTAGATTCAGCAGTCATTAATAGTCTCATATTTGCTCTAGTTACATGTTTCTCGCCAACCTATTCGAAGGTAAGTTCTAGCCAACACAATACTTTCCCACTAAATACATCAGCCACATCTTCTAAAAATAAGGAGCTATTCTACATAACCTCTAATGCATTATCATACCTAGGAAAAATATTAATTTCCTAATATCCTTTGATATGTAGCCCACAATCAAATTTCCTCAATTGCCTCAATTTTTAGCTGTTTTCTTTTTTTAAAAAATTTCCCTCCAAATCAGGATCAAACCAAGTTCCTCACATTACATTTGCAGGAGTCTGGATTTTATTTTAGGTGTGAGGCAAGTCAATGGAGGGCACTGAGCGGAAAAAGTGGTGCCTTCTAAGTTTCAAATATTGCCTTGATTACAGGAGAATAACTACCGCGAGGCCAGAGTGAAGGCGGGAGAGCAGCAGACAGGCTGTGGCCCGGGTCTGCAACACTGGTGATGGTAAACAGAGGTCAGATTTCAGGAGTGAAAAGTGGTGAAAGTGGTCTGAGCAAAAAGGAGGATTCAATCCTGCCGAATAGCAGGGTTGGAGAGAGATGTACTACAAGCTTTGGAAGATGCAGAGCCTGGTGGCCTTGGTAAGCTCAATTTCAGGGAGAAAGAACAGAGAAACTGAGCAGAAGATGAAGGACAAGTGGTCAGGAGAGGTTTTGTTGTTGTTGTTGTGTTTTTTTAAGATGCGGAACAGGAAGACTTGATTGCCTCCATTATGGAAATGAGCCTGCCGAGTGGGAGCAACTGCTGGAGGAGTGGAGCTAATTGCAGGCGTGTGGCCCTGGAGGCGGGAACAAGGATCCACCGGCACCACCCGCAAGGCTGCCCTTAGGAGAAGGTAAAGTGTAAAGGGACAGATGTGAGATAGCCTGAGGGTTCGATGGTGGAAAGATGAGGTAATGCTCTGCCGACTCCATCTATTTTTCCAGTGACCTATGAGCAAAAGTCATCAAGTGAGGGAAGGGAGCCAATTTGAGGCAACATAGGAAATAAGTGTCCTCAAAAATGGGAAAGTTAATGACTACTAAGGAAGCATCCGGGGATCAAATGCTCATTTTACAATTTATGGTCATAAATATAAGTTCAGTCAACAAGGTTAGGTAATTTTCTCCAGGCAGGGCCAGTTGGTTGGGTACAGAAAAAAGGTGGGGGGTGGGGGAATAACAGCAACCCCATTCTTATACCCAACAAAATTAACAATACCTTAATTTAATAACTAGTTCAAGTTTAATTTCCTTTAATTGTCTCAAAACTGTCTTTCTGTAGTTGCTTATAATAAAGCCTTACGCGGTCACCTTTGTCTGGAAAATAGTACCTCTAAATAAGTACTGACACCTACCGTGTGCCGGAGACTGTGCCAGATAGGTAAGGGGTGTGTAGTGCCCAGAAATACTGCACTATTCGACTCTATGAAAGCGGGGGGTAAATTGGCTAACCCAGATCCCAGATCAGGTCACTCAAGAGAACAACAGGTGGGGCTTTTAGGAAAAGATCTCCGTTGCAGTAGCTCTTCAGAGACCCAAATGATTGTAGGGTGTTAATGTTATCCAGAGCATTGAAATCAGGAAGCCTCCACTGTAACTGTCCTGCCACCGTCTGGAGCATTATTCTAAGCACTGCCAACAAGTGACTGAGAATAATTCATCATCTCCCAATAAAATGTACTGCACTTAGTGTTATAAAGACCTTCCAAGGAGCATAGATGAGATTCTTGTTCAAGGAACTTAACTTGTAGTGGAAAGGATAATGTAATACACAAATAACCAGAGTGCAAGGTGAAAGCCTGCAAGCGCTCAAAGAGAGTACCTGAAATTAAACTGCTTTAAAAAGCACATAGGGCTCCTGGGATTACTGGGGTGGCAGACCCGTGGCCAAGGGACCAAAGAGGAGGAAATGAAGAGCCAAGTCAGTGATACTTCTGTTGGACTCTGAAGAGCAGGTGGGAATTATTAATGCAAATAAAGAAGAGGGAGAGAGAAGGGAATCTGAGGCCAAAGGGTCAAAATTAGCAAAGGCAGAAAGATGGACTAAGGTGCCAGGTGTACAGGGACCAGCACAGGCCGGATGCTATGCTGTCTTGGGTAAGATTCCAACCAGACTGCAAAAAGCTTAAGCGATGGATTTCAGCTAAGGAATTAAAGCTTTGTTTATGAAGTAGTAGCTCAGAAGTATCTCCGAATACACTCCTTTACTATTAAGCCCTAACAGGTACCTGGGCACTGATAATTTTAACTCCCTTAAAAACACTTGTAATGCCTGATTTAGGCATTCACTGTGTAAATACCACACCCTACAGAGTACCAGTAAGTATTTTGTGGGAAAAGTCCACTAAAGAATATATAAACCCCGGTCCCAAACTGAATCCCCACCTTTTCCCCTTATCGTTTTGCAGCCTCGTAGTCAAAGACCTTACAGGTTTTGAAACAGAACACTACCACAATGGTAATTATAAATGAACAATCATTCTAGGTCAGGACTGAATTATAAAAATTTGTCCATGGGGTTGTCCTCTAAAAGTCATCCTTTTTTTCCAGGTCCTCCAATAAAGTATTAAGAGATTTGGGGCACATTTACAATTCACAGAATTGTTAGTTTCGAATTTTCCAGAAGCCAAGGCAATTATTTCCGCGACTGCCTAACAACCTGAATTAGACACGGCATCCCTGAGTTTTCTGGCCCTGCATTTCCTAAATTAATTCCAGAGTACTTCCAATGACATCAAGCCGAACAAACCCTTCTGAAGTCAAGGCCTATGTGAGCCCCCCCAAAATCAGCCCCAAAATAAGGTGAACGCTATGGCGCCCTTTCTGTTTTTTGCATAGTTGGAGGGACAGGTGGCTCAGTCGCCGGGATTCCCGTTCGGTCCCTTCCCACCAAGTCTACCGCAGGCCGCTCACCCTGCCCTGCCCGCTACCGGCTCCGTACCCTCAGGTTAGCTCGGAGGCCCAGATTCTTGGCTAAGTTCTGCAGGTCGCTGTACTTGAAGGAGTCCAGCTCCTCAAGGGAGGGTACGGCCATGGCAAGCTGCATCCAGGCGACCACGCAGAGGACGCGTACTCCAGGGTCGGCAGCGAAGTTCGAAAACTCTGGCGCCACTGTAAGCGTTGGTTAAACCGAATTTTATAGAGAGTTTAAATTGAAAATGCTCCACTTCTATTGGTTAAAAATGCCCTGAAGGCGGGGTTTCCTGGCGTTGGCCAATAGAAACCAAAATTCTCCACCCCTCAGACGCTTGTTTTCCCCTCACCCCTCAACACCACTTTGGCGCCGAAGGGCGTGTCCAGGCCGAGTGGTGGGGCAGAGCCGCCCCTCCCCACTCACGATGTCCAATGAGGATGCAGGAACCGTGCTTGGGCGGGGCCAGGTGCGTGTTCGAAACGGAGGCGCGGGCTGCAGGAAGATGGCGGCTCGGCCGCGGCGGCATCGTTCGCGATATGCAAAGCTTCCACGGGATGATTTTTGTGATGGCGCTAAGAAGACAATTGACAAACACTCTTGTACGACTTCTATGGAGTGGGACACGCAGGTAGTGAACGGGTCCTCGCCGCTTGGCCCCACAGGCCTGGGGACGGAGGAGCTGCCATCTAGCCCGCGGTTGCCGTCGTGGCTGCAGCCGGAGAGGTGCGCCGTGTTCCAATGCGCACAGTGCTACGCCGTGCTCGCTGACTCTGTGCACCTCGCCTGGGACCTGTCGCGGTCCCTCGGAGCCTTGGTCTTCTCCAGTGAGTGGGGGCGGAGTCTGAGGAAGGCGGAGGAGGGCCAGAGAGGGGGCTCCTTCTTTCTCAGGGGATGGTCGAGAGCGGGTGGTGAAAAAGACCGGGTGAAGATTTAGAAGGAAATTAACCCCTTTGCCAGGGGTGGGGGCAACTTTTCATGATTTTTGTGGCTATGATGTAGTCTATCTGTAGCGGGTAGGTTTTCCCTTCCAAAGCTTCACAGCTACTACTCCTGACCCGTGTTTGTCTTCCTAGGAGTCACAAATAACGTGGTTTTGGAAGCTCCCTTCCTAGTTGGCATTGATGGTTCGCTCAAAGGCAGGTATGTACTGGGAGTTCTCGACTGGTTTCTAGTCCCTCACTTAGTAAGATTGAGGAGCGTAGAACCGACATGCACAAGGTGAAAATGGTTTGTTCTTACCTGCGCTAGAAGTTTATTCAGTCCTTACAGTGTATTTGAAGGATGTTTCTTTTACCTGTTTGAGACTTGTAGGAACTTGATGTATTAATGAAACGGAAAGGTGTATTTGTGTGTAGATTTTAAGATCTTTCTGAGGGCCACATCTCTAGTGGCTTGTGCAAGCGAAGTGAGGCTAAGACGGTTATGTCTGGTATGGGAAAAGACAGAAGGGTACCTTTTGGTGTATAGTGAGAATCCATATAAACTACAATCCTTTGAGATAACTAGGACTTTTAAATTTGCATTTTACTTGGAGTTTGTAATAAGCCATGGTAGGACTATTTCTTCTGTAACCTAGGGAACCTGGGGAAGAACACAAGTTCAATGTTAAGGACTTGAATACTGGGGGGTAAACTGCATCTTTCTGTGCTGTGATCTACAAGTGACAACGAAGTGCTCAATGATTTTACAGGTCTCCCTAATTTTGAGCGTTGGCTTTTACATCAAAACAATTCATTCTGACCACAGTTTTAGGGTTAAATAAGGTATAGGAATTCTTAGTTGCTTTACTCAGTAACCAGAAAGAGTTTTGCAGTTCCTCTTTCCCAACTGAAAGACCCTAGCTATCCTTACCAGAGTGTCCGCTTTCCACCGGAAGAGAACAGGGAAGAAGAGAGTAGTGATTTGCTTGGAACTGGGTTATTTGGGCCCAGAAGCATAAGCTCTACAAGTATCTTTCTTAGAATAGGATAAGACATCTAGACACATGCTGTCCAATACTGTAACCATTAGCCACATGTAGCTGTTGAGCACTTAAAATGTGGCCATCCTGAATTGAGAAATACTGTGAGTGCAAAATACACACTGGATTTTGGAGACTTGATACAAAAAAATTAATAGTTTAAAAATATTGATTACATGCTGATTGATATTTTTGATATATTGGGTAGTGTAAAATGTATTAAAACTAATTTCGCCTGTTCGTTTTGAAGTTATTTTTTATTTTTTTTTTAAGATTTTATTTATTTATTTGACAGAGAGACATAGCAAGAGAGGGAACACAAGGGGGACTGGTAGAGGGAGAAGCAGGCTTCCCACAGAGCAGGAAGGTCCGATGTGGCGCTTGGTCCCAGGACCCTGGGATCATGACCCAAGCTGAAGGCAGACGCTTAACGACTGAGCCACCCAGGTGCCCCTGATATTTTTTTTTAAAGATTTTATTTATTTATTTTTGAGAGAGAGACACACAATGACAGAGGGAACACAAACGGGGAGTCGGGGAGGGAGAAGCAGGCTTCCCGCAGAGCAGGGAGCTGGACGACATGGGGCTCAAACCCAGGACCCTGGGATCATGACCTGAGCCGAAGGCAGACACTTAACGACTGAGCCACCCAGGCGCCCCTTGAATTTATTTTTAACATGACAGAAAACTTTAAATTACTTATATAGCTCACATTACATCTCAACTGGACAGTACTGATCTAGATGGTTTCTAAAACACTGGAGGGAAATTCCCAAGTATTTGTGTACTTTTAGCATCAGGGGAGCCATGGGACTTGGCAGGAAGAGATTTATCAGGAAATGGTTCATGTGATTATAGAGGGTGAGAAGTCCCAAGAGCTGTAGTTGGCAAGCTGGAGACACAGCAGAGCCAGTGGTTTAGATCTAGTCAAAGGCCACAAGCCTAGAACCAGGAGAGCCAAAGTGTAAGATCCAATCCAAAAGCCAGAAGGCTGTAGACCAAAGAAGAGCCTACATTTCAGTTCAAGTTCAAAGGCAGGGGGTAAACAACAATGTCTCAGCTTAAAGCAGTCAGGCAAGAGGAGTTTCCCTTTATTCCTGACAGGGTCAGCCTTTTCATTCTGTTAAGACCTTCAGCTGATTAGATGCGGGTACCCAAATGGGGAGGACAATCTGCTTTACTCAGTCTACTGATTCAAGTGTTAATGTCATTCAAAAACTCTCTCACAAACACATTCAGAATAATGTTTGACCTGATAACTGGGTGCCATGTGGCCTAGTCAAGTGGACCATAAAATTTAACCATCACTTGTTAACTTGGCACCCACATGCATCTCTTAAAACCATACTTAATCTCCAAATAAAGACAATAACAAAGTCATAATTCTAACTTTTTTTTTTTAAGATTTTATTTATTTGACAGAGAGAGACACAGCGAGAGAGGGAACACAAGCAGGGGGAGTGGGAGAGGGAGAAGCAGGCTTCCCGCCGAGCAGGGAGCCGGATGTGGGGCTCCATCCCAGGACCCTGGGATCATGACCTGAGCTGAAGGCAGACACCCAACGACTGAGCCACCCAGACGCCCCTCTAACATGTTACAACTATCATGCATACAGTTGAAAACACACTAACCCCTTCTCTGGAAAAGGAAGTTAAAGTCCTTAAATGACGTTTGCATTTCTCTTTGATCTCTTGTAATTTAAATACTGTGATATAAAACTAGTAATACTTAAATAGAATGATATAGTTTGATATAGTAGTATGATATAAAGTATGATCTTGTATAATGGAATAAGAGAAGAACAGAGATAAACACTTAGACACACAAACTTACTCATAACAAAGTACAGAGGAAATACTCATGACAATTACAGTTCTCATTTCTGTAACTGGTCACTTGGTCATAGCTGTATTTGTAACTACCTTCTTCCACTACCCATCTGTATCCCCTTTTGCTTTCAGCAAGCACTCAGCTGGTCAGAGTTCTTTTCCTGGTGTGGTAATGCAAACCTTCATTTTTGAAGGACTTGAGCCATTAGCGGACTAATATTCAGTGAAATATTTTATATTGCACACATAAGCACATTTTTGCCCTGTGCCATAAATTAGTATCTATCAGACATTTTTCTATAGGTACTGTGCTTTGTCTGATACCATTAATTCCTACATAGGAATTAATTCAAATTAATGCAGTTTATTTCATGGCTTGCTTTTTGGTTACTGTATTCACAAAAATACAGTACTACATGTGTGGTGTGGGACTTAATTTACCAATGAATTGGGATACTGTATTGCTTGGTCTTTTTTAGTATACACTGACATGAATCTTTTTCTCTGTAGTCATATGATTTTTATACTCTATTGATGCAGTTTTACTGCATAGTATATTTAAACAAATACTTTTTTCCCTTACCAAACCACTTTAAAACTGTTTTCAGGAGGTGCCTGTCTGGCACAGTTGGAAGAGCATACAACTCTTGATCTCGGGATCATCAGTTTGAGCCCCATGGTGCGTGTAGAGAGTTCTTAAATAAATAAATAGTTTTCAGTATATACCTGATGAAACATAATTTTTTTCTTAAAACATTTCTTTATGGGGGCGCCTGGGTGGCTTAGTCGTTAAGCGTCTGCCTTTGGCTCAGGTCATGATTCCAGGGTCCTGGGATCGAGCCCCACATCGGGCTCCCTGCTCGGCGGGAAGCCTGCTTCTCCCTCTCCCACTCCCCCTGCTTGTGTTCCCTCTCTCGCTGTGTCTCTCTCTGTCAAATAAATAAAATCTTAAAAAAAATTTTGTTTTCTTTGTAGTATTCGGGATGCCTGGGTGGCCCAGTCAGTTAAGCAGATGCCTTTGGCTCAGGTCATGATCTCAGAGTCCTGGGCTTCCTGCTCAGCAGGGAGCCTGCTTCTCCCTCTGCCTTTGCCTGCCGCTCCCCCTGTTTGTGCTCTCTTTCTCTCTCTCTCTGATAAATAAATAAAATCTTAAAAAAACAGAAAACATTTCTTTGTAGCATTTGGATGTCTTATGTATCAGCAGATATGGTGAGTGACTTACCCAAGTGGTATTACTAGAATCATTACCTGTTTCCTCATCCAGTAATCTTTCAGAGGATAAAAGAAAAAATAGATGGCTTGCTAGGGTAATAGGATTTCTTTTCTTTTTTTCTCTTTTGGCATTTTGTCTGGGTATTTTTTTTAAGTTAATTTTTTATTATATTTGCAAAAGAAAAATCCTGATTTGAGTTCTATTAATAAATTGCTT